AGGACTTGCAGAAACCGCCCTTAGACAGTTCTGGCGCCTCGGCGTCGGCGCCATCTTCTCTGTTTTTTGGGCGAAAACTAGCGCCTAGGCGCCACCCTGTTAGCAGCACCCGCATTTGCTCTCGTTTGCCTCCCATTTTCTCCATTTTAGCCATAATCCGCTCCAAGTGTTATACCTGTAAGATAAACATGAAAATAACATTTCTTTAAAATACAATCTCATTCAAAAACATTTGATAAAAGTAAAGGAATATAAGCATAAAAAAAGACATTAAAATCCTCCAAACTTAAACGTTATTTATCCTCAAGTAACACTATAACTTTAAAAACCAAATTTGTTGATTTGAGGAAGTGAGTTTCAGTAGAGTTTCCTATATTTTGTCTCAGAAATATTTTAGGGTAACTTTGGAGAAATTCTAGCAAATCAACCTAGGACTAGAGTGCAAGAATATCTCATATTCAATTTAAGAATTCTCATTTTCTATTCACTTCAAAAGTTATTGAAATTTGTTAAACTAGATATTTTTATAAAGTATAAAGCAGAATTTAAGTACCCTATCTATACCATTTTGACCAATATTTTTTTTTGAAATAAGAATAAGCTTTGTTTTGTTTCTAAGTCTTCTTCTTTAAAAAGATTCAAGTGAAATCAATTTCTAATTAAGTTTCTCATCAAGCTTCTCTTCACTTTTCATTTCTTTTTACTTTTCTTTTTTCTCTGTTTTTTTCTTTTCGGATCTTTTTATTTAATAATCTCTATTTTCATGCGAGGATTACTATACCTCGATAGACTTTTAATAATTTTAAATTTCACTTTCCTCTTCTTAAAGTTAAAAACTCAAAACTTTCCATCACTTTTTAAAAGTGTAAGCATTAGTTTAAAAAAGGTTTGAATAAAGGCTCAATTCTCATAAAGTGTAAATTTAAGAATCATTGCTTTTCAAATATTCAACTCCTTTATACCATAATGAGTAAAATCATTTTCCTAATGTTTCATACAAAATATCTTAACTCTAGAATAATTTTCTTCACATAGGATCCTAACTAATCCTAAAATCAAAATTATAATAACCTAAATATAACACTACATACCACAAGTCATTTTAAAAGTGATATCAAATTAATACATGCTATTGAGAAAAAATAAAGTTAAGTTTTAAAATATTTTCTCCCCCCTCAAACTTCATTTTTAACATGTATAGCATTCAGTACAAATAATATAAACAGGAAGAAAAATAGTTTAAAAATTATATCTACCACAAATATTTATTTGAAACATCTATAAGTATTCATCAAAATAGAATAATGTGCAATTAAAAGTAAATCTAAATTAAAACATACTGAATGAAATTAAACTAAGGAAAAGTCTAACTAACACAATATGTATTAGCATAAAAATATATATTTTGATGTTCCTGAAGTCATCTATAGTATTGTAACACATACACAAACATCAATACATAAATGAGATCAATTCCTCCAACATCTCATCACACCTTTCCTTCTAATTCTAATGGAATCACTTCACTGATCAATTGAGTTCTTTTAAATGCTTTTATAGGGTCTAACCCCATAGACACGATTATTCCTGTTATGCTGGCTCGCGAGCACCGACCTGAAACATCACATTATCCCTTGAAGTATGCTCCTGTAACAGTTATAAGGGTAGTATAAGATGATCCTCGGGTTATTTTTCAACTGGTTTATTGAACCATATTGAAAAAAACATGGTCAGATAAAGGAAGTAACAAAACTTAGATAGACCTGTTCTATTTCCAAACTCATCATATCTCTAATTAATCCTCAAGCCTGGTCTAGAACTGAGTCGTAATGTACTCGTTAATCTAACAACAACCAAAAAATAAATATAAAGTCGCAATGAGAAGTTAAGGAATGACCTCACTCATAACACACGAAAATCAAATTAATCCACTAACAATCCGAACATCCACTAACATCAATCAAATTGATCAATCAACACAAACAAATACATCACATCTCAAACAATTACAAATGACAAACACGCTAACACGGATAGCCTATGGGTTGCCTCCCATGAAGCGTTTGGTTTAACGTCGCCAACGCGACGAATCTCAAGGTTTTACATATTTCACTTGCTCACCACTTTTCTTCTTAGGGTTTTTAATAACAGATTGTATGCCCAGTGTTCTCTAGTTTTGCATCGTATAGTTCATGGTCTGCAGTACGCAAACTACGCATTCAACTCTAAAAACTTAACTAATTGGACAGATATCCAGTACTTTAAGCACTCAAAATTATTTTTGGTATTTTGAATTTTTTTAAATAAACTCATAATAAATAAACAAACTAGATAATAACGCTACAATTTCTAAATCTAGGTCTTCCGGGTTTAACTATAATTCTTATAAAGTTCTTAATGCAGCCTCCCCGACAACGACACAAAAAACTTGACCCGACCCGCAATTATACAGTTATTTAGTTTCCTGGCCAAAAACTCGACCCAGTTTCTTTAGGCGGTTAGTGTGTAAAATGGATATGTTATAGAGTTTAAAATTTGATTTTTAGTTTACACACTACGGATTTTACGCAAGTATACGTATCGTTCAAGTAATTTAGGCTCTAATTGAGTCCCAATTATCGATTCCACAGAGAAGCAATGTAAGAAATACTTTAGGCTAAGTTCTAGTTTAATACTATCAGGTCTTAGTTTGGAACGTTGATTAACGATATTTTTTTATCGACTAATCCTAAATACAAACCTAAATCTAAAGTTAAATCTAAATAGATCAATTTGTTTGATAAATTTTGAGATGTAAAAACTACCTTTCTCTTATGGGGACTTGGATATGGTGTAGGAATGAGATGCTTAAAATCTAATGTAGCCAGTGACAATAGGAGCAAAAATATAAGTTGCCATTTTCCGAGTGTATAATGTAGCTTAGTTAACCTAGAGTCGATTCTTTAAAATATTTAGATTGTCACGGCGAAACTTCTAGCCCGTCAATACCTAGTTCTTTAATTTTATTTGTAGTGTAATGATACAATAATCTACAACTAGTATTCTTCAAGATTGGTGGTGTAAGGAAGAGTTTTTTCTCCCAACTGTCTTTTTTATTTCTATGGTTTGACTATATAATGCTCATGAGTTTGATATTATCCTCTGATGCTGAAGTCACGAACTTGGTATTTGCTCATTAGTTTGAAGGCCCAACCATTTCAACTTTCGTAGGATCCTTGAAGGTATAATGTCAGGGTGGTACTACATCATGTTGTGCAATTTTCCAGAGAAGTAAATGTGTTCACATTTTGAACAGTTCTGCACCTCAAATGCATTGTTTGCTCCATACTGTCAATTAAAGCGGGTTTGCTGGATTCTCATATTCAAAATTCAGTAAATTTTAATCATGCAGAGAAAATAAATAAAGAAATTAAAACTCATAACGTTTAAACGGAAAAACTTTGGTTTATAATTGGCTTGGCTGTTTACAAAAAAAATGTGTCATTCTGAAGGATAAATTCACCTTCAGAACAAGCAAAATCCAATAACACGACAAGTTTTTTCTAAATGTAAGTTGTTATATGTATTGTTTTAGTGTTGAAAGCAGCAGAAAGTCTAAGCTATAATTCAGGAAGCGATTGAAACCTGCAGAAAGTCTAAAGCTAGTTCACAGGAAACGGTTGAAAGTAAAATAAGCATGGTAGCGGTCTTTCCCATAAAGGGCATTTGATGAGTCAATTCGGCAAGGGGCATTGGTCTTGCTTTTTTCTTTAGTCCATCTTACTCGCTTATTTATTTTTTCAACAATGTTCATCTCAGTCATAATGTCTTTTTCTTCTTTGGTTGTTTCTTTACTTTTTGCATCAGCATGGCCATGGCATCTAAACTTTAATAAATTTTTTGTGTTGAATGCTTAGTGGGCTACAAATCTATCCAGCTTCTAAAATGAAATATATGAAATCAGCATGGCCATAGACTAGAGTTATAAATTTAAGCTTTGAAGCACAGTCTTTTAATTTAATTTGCGAAACGCTAGTTCTCTTCTATGATTTGGGACGAAATTAGTTGTAAATGTTGGGGACTACAAGAATGGATAATTGGATTGCCGGAATTGAGCTGCATGAATTAAAGCTGGGCTGCAGGAGAATTGATGAACTTATTTTAAACTTGTGTATTTATTTATTTATATTGATTTTTTAAAAATTTTAAAATCATTTAATATGCATTTATCTATATTTATAAAATCCATGTACTTGTGCATTTTACTTGTTAATCTATCATCTTAAAGAGCTTTATGTTGTCCTTAATCGAGCTTTTTAATAGATTTGTTCATTAAAGGCTGTTTGTGATTATTGATAAATTGATCAACGAGTTGTTAGCTTTTTAGAATCTATGGAGTAGTCATTCCAAGACAAATCTTGCTTTATTTAGCTCTTTATTTTGATTAAAATATATATTTCTTAGAATACTCCCTCAAATTTGGCAATACCTTTCTCTAGTTTTATTTCATAAACAGTGTTTCTGAAAGAGATTTGAAGATGCGAACTAACTGATCAATTCTATCCTTGTTTGAACGGTAACTACCAATTAAGCAGTTCTCCCTCAGTTTTGATTTGTGAAGTTCTGGAAATTTTCAATGTTAATATGCCATGATAACAGAAGTTAAACCTCTGAATAGCAACAATACAATTTAAGACGCTTGGCTGCTGTCTGATAAAGATACATTCTGAGTTTCACATATCAGGGGTGTGATGTATTCCTTCTGTGAACTTAGTGATATATATATATGTATGTATGTATGTATGTATGTGTATATATATATATATATACTGTAGCACATAGTTTTACTCCCGAGATGCGGAATTGATATTTCTGTTTCACAGAATCACCAAGATTTATATTTTCTATTTTCATCTTTTCAAACGTTAAATTGAACCTAGGTATGTGCAATCATAATGCTTTTGAATATTTCAATTTTGATGGTCATGATACGCATTGTAGGCTTTGGTTCGTTGTCACAGGTACTGGGTGAGAAAGCATTTGACAAAGTTGGGAAGGGATTCATTTCATTTCACTTCTCCGATCAACACCCAGGCTCTCGGAAGAAGCTTCTAATCCTCAAATTTGCACTTCCAGGCGTCAACAATATGGCTGAAATGACAAGATTGGTTAACCTCGTACCTTACTACATTGACTTAATTGGACGTTACAAACCAAGCTCACAGGTTTATAAATATTCAATCTTCCCTTATTTTTCAAAGCATAATTTATTTCCTAGACATTGTTTGATGAAGATTTTCATTCTTGACTCAACCGGGAGCTCATGTGTTTGCTTTAACGTGTCGTAGGCCCGTGCAAAAACCGAAGCTGCCAGAGCAAAAGCTGCGCAAGAGGCATTTAAAGAAATGCAAAGTGAGAGGCAAGAAACACTGCAGAAAAAGAAGGCTGAGAAGAAAAAATTGGTTGAAGAGGCTGAAGCAAAGTTGAGTGCTGAGGCCATTCGCAAGAAGGAAGAGAAAGAACGCTCTCGTCAAATGAAGAAGCTAATGCCTAAGGTTAAGATGCTTCGATCCCACTAGGAACACACTAATCGACTCGCTCCGTCTTGAAACATCATTTGAATGCTGGGTCTCTTGCACTGAGAAGGCTTTAATATGGTGTTAGCTTTTTAGGAATGCTTCTGATACTTTCTGGACAGTGAAATCTGAGACATTAATCTCCCAAATAGCAGCTGTTGTTTCTGTTCATTGTGTTGTTTTCCTAGCTTACTGTTTTAAATTCAGTCTCTTTTAATTCAATTAGGGTAACTGTAGCTTATTTTTGGTGTGTACATAAAGCTGCTACTATTTATAAGCTGCTAGCCTTGTTTCTTATTTTGTAATCAATTTCCAAAATTTGTATGCTGGTAAGTCGAACTTAAATCAGCATTCCACTAGTCAGATAAATGCTGCATTTGGTGCGAAATTTCATACAAATATTTTTGCACGCTAAGCAGCAATGTTAGCTGCAGTCATGTTATATTGATCATGATGCACTCTTTAATGTGCCAAGTGTCTGACGTGACACCCCCAGATGTTTGCCATAAGTCTTGAAAACACACAATGCATTTGTTTTTCGCGTCTTGGCTGCGTCCTGTAAAACGTCGTTTTGGGTTAATATATGATCTCAGCCGGCGCCCTCAGTGCCGCAGGCCAGCGTTTCATGCTCCTTTTTACTTTACTAACCCACTCTTCCTTCGCCATCCCAGCTCGTGCCCTAGGTTCCACGATCTGAGAAAGACGAGATCGCAACATTCGATCCATCGTGCTTGATATTTCTCTCATTACTTTTCTCTTCTCTTATACCCTGCGATCCGCCCCCTTCTCTGTAAGTACTTATCTTCTTTTTTACGGTAAGTTGGAGGAGTTTCGTATGGATGGCTTTGAATGGAGCATTTCGTTTTTGTTAGGGAGATACTTTCTCCTTGCAGTTTTACGATTATTGAGTGTTCAGTGCTCTGGATTTCAGCCGACTGAGCTCCATATGTGTGGCCACAATCACGAGTTTTCTAACTTTGTGCTTATCTCTTTCTGAAATATGATAATTTCTTCTATGTTCAGTTCTGAAATTTTGTGTGATGAAATTTGAGCATCAGAATAACTTTATGGTATTATGAATCTTCCCCCTATTTTGGCTGAATATCCCAATTGCTAAGAATGTGTGTGGCCAGTCTTGGAATTCTTCTATTATGTTATTTTTCTTCACTGCATCTATAATGAATGTCGATCTGCCACATTGGAATGCAGATGTGTAATGGAATTACTGCTTCATCATTCTTTAGTTAAAATACTTCTATAACAGAAAAGATTAAATGACATTCTTTGTTTATCCTGTTTAGTTGGAATGCCGATGTGTTTTGTTTTGAGATGATTTTTTTTTCCTTAAATGACATTTATGTTTTCAAGTGGCTGGCCGATGTTCTCTATGGCTTTATTGTTTTGAGAATTTTGGATGCAAAATGTTCAATTATGGAGAGAGAGAGAGAGAGAGAGAGAGAGAGAGAGAGAGAGAGAGAGAGAGAGAGAGAGAGTATCATGCCACAAATAAATATGAAGGATATTTTGGAGAAGGAATTTAGCTATGCATATATATAACTTTTTTCCTCTAAAAAATGCATTTTAAAATGAATGAGTTACAAAAGGTTGGAAAGTTGACAATTTGCTTATTCATAATACATGTGCCATCTTTAGATGGATCCGAGCTTGATGATAAATATTCCCTAATGTTGGTTGCAGTACACTTGTTGTTAAAGGCAATCTAAATTATTTTATCCTTCTAGCTTCCCAAATTTGGATAGCACATTGGCAAGTCGGTTTTGCTTTGGATTTGTTCGATCATGCTATGTTACCTGTTTTCAAATTCTATCTTTTAGCTAGAAACAATGTTGTTCATATTACCTGATATTTGTAAGCATATCTAAAGATTTGAATCATGTTTTTTGTGTTTTTTGATACATATCTTTTATTAGTCTCATTATGGCTAAGAACAAAGAAGTGATGTGGATATCACAAACAATTTTTGCAATCTATGTATTAAGGATATTGAAATTAGTAATAAACATATTATTTATTTTAATAAAGAAGGATGATAAAATATTTCGAAGAAGTTTAAGGAAATGACAGGGCGGGAGTACGACAGGTTAAAATTCAAGAACAAGAGGGATAAACTAAAAAAGGACTAGAAGTTATGGAAGAAATTGAAACGGGGATCCACGGGATTGGGTTGGGATCCTATCAAGCGTATCATGCATGCTTCAGAGGAATGGTGGGCTGAGAAGCTAGAGGTAATAATTTTGCCTCCACAAACTCTTCAGTTAATTATCATTTAGCTTTCTATTTTGTCTAATATGCCCTCATTCACATTGCAGGCAGTACCAACTGCAAAAAAATTTAAGGTGTGCGGAATTGACCCAAAATTGGAAGAAAAATTGGATGTAATGTTCAAGGGGGTTGTTGTTACAGGTCAGCATGCCTTCAACCCATGTGAGCAGGGATTTGATGGCATCTCAATAGATATGATACCCAATTAGGTTATCAGTTCTGGTGAAGGTCTAAGCATAAACTCGAGGGAGCTCAAGTCCACGTGCCAATCAAAGAGGCGTAAGATGGGAAAAATATAAAAAATAAAGATGTCTTAGTACAGAGCTCGATAGACAGACTGATAGAAGTATTTGCAGCTCTGCAACCTGTTAAACCAATAGTGGATGATCCCAATATCGATGATTTTATGACCATTTTAGAAGAAATTCCAGAATTTGTCGCTGATTCCGACCTCTTCTTAAAATGTGTTAAACTACTCGAGCGCCCGACCTACAGACATATTTTCAACAGGCTTCGGCCTGAGCTACATGTCGAATATTTGCGTCTCTCGATTAAAAAATGAATATTGTATTTATGGATTTTTTCGGATATGTTTGCTTTTGTATTATTTCAAAGACATTGGTATGTCAAATTTTTTTAAAAATTATATTATATATGTGCAAAATTGTTGCTTTTTAAATATTAGAACTAGTTTTCATCATTTATTTTCACAAGCTGTTTATTCATATCAAATCATTTATCCAGGATGGATCGATATCGAGAACGCCGCAAAAGAATGACTGCTGCGATTGTTATATTACTGTTAGAACACTATCACTCCGCCATTGATCGAACACCATGCATAACCTCATCCTTTATTGGGGACAAATGGGTTGGCGAGATGCTAGTTGGACACCTCATAAGCTTCATCAACATATTTTGCATGAGCGTACCAATTTTTTTCGATCTTCTACACGAGCTATGTAGCAACCACGACCTCAGAGGTTTGTCAAGAGCAACTATAAGGGAGGTGTTAGCAATTACGTTATACATTTTATCTCAGAATGAATCAATCAGAAGAGGTATGGAACAATTCTAACATTCTTCTGAGATAATAAGTCGATACTTCTCTGAAGGATTGAAAGCACTAATTAGCCTAGCTATCCAAATAATTAAGCCAGAAGATCTGTCATTCAGTTCTACTCATGAAAAAATAGCTAATGACCCACATTACATGCCATTTTTCAAGGTTAGTTTCTTTAATGCATTATATTTACTTCTAAATATAATTTTTCTACTATCATTTGGAATTATTAATAAATCCAAACAGAACTGCATTGAGGCAATTGATAGTACACACGTGAATGCTTGACTCCCTAGTGATGAAAATGTGACTTACATTGGTCGGTGTGGTTCCCCAACCCAAAATGTGATGAACGTTTGTGACTTCAACATGTGCTTCACGTTTGTGATGGCCGGATGGGAAGCTAGTGCTCATGACAGTCGTCTTTTTGCCTATGCAAAAAAGAGTAGCAGACAACGCTTCCCTCACCCACCTCTAGGTTGGCTTACTTTTTTTAACCTATTAATTTTTGTTTGTACGAATCAATAAAAAAAGTCATGTCTTTCGTGACAGGCAAATATTATTTTGTGCATATCGGTTATCCCTTACGGTGATGGTATTTAAAGCCATTTCCAGACACCAAATACCACATCCCTGATTTTGAGAGATCAAGCGGCATCGCTCGTGGTAGAAATGAAAGGTTTAATAAACGTCACTCATTCTTACGCGCGGTTATCAAATGAACATTTGGTGTTTGGAAAAAGAAATGGGTCATCCTTCGTGCTATGCTGACGTACCCTTTTACTAAATAGGTTCATATTGTGGTGGTCACGACGACGCTCCACAATTTTAGTAGACAACATCCATCTAGATCGGATACAGACTTTAATTTGGCTGACATCGATGGGATGCATATCTCACCTGAATCATTTGAATTCTGATAGCGACTTTATATATGCTTAAAAATACAAGAATTTGATATTGCTGCTAGAAGATTTAAATCCCCGGCAACGGCGCCAAAAACTTGACAACGATTATAAATTTGATAAAGATGTGTATAAAATATTCAATAATTGCAAAGTCACACTTATCAACGTAAGTATACGTATCACTCAAGTAATACAGGACTCTAATGGAGTTCTGGATATCGATCCCACAGGGAGTAATATTAGAGGCTACGAACTAAGATTTAAAAAATCAATACTTAATCACAATAATATAGTTCAAATTGCATATTTGTCACTAATAGGCAATTGAAATAAAAATGTAATTTTAATAAACTCTTAATCAAACTATATTTACCAGTAAAGTTTCTAATGTGAAGTTCAATATATAAGAAAACATCATTCTCCTTGTCAAGAAGTTTAAGTGAATGGATAAAGTGAATTAGTTCAAATTGTATTGTGCAAAATAGGAGCATACCTATTCTTTACCCTTTGATCCAGACATAAAGAATATTGACTAACCCTATGCTTGGTTACTGAATCTGCGGCTAGGCTGGGAGAATACCGGCTCTCACTTC